TCGTTGTTTACAATTTGGCCAAAAAAATCGATAGACAAACCCCAATCATTTTATGGATATTTGGATATATTTTGTAATTGTAAAGTAGAAGAAGGAAGTTGCTAGGAACAATTTCATTCTCCAGACTAAATAATAACAATCGTTTTGAATTGTATTCAATTAAGCATCGATTTAACAGCCTAATAGATCAGTGAATAGCTCATCGATATCCAGTGATAAATTTCAGTCGAGAGGCTATAGACTGGTTCATTAACGATAAGAGAATTAGAAAGATTAACCTCATCTCAGTGAAAAAATCTTAGGCTCTAATGCCTTTTATTAATTGGATAATGATCTACTGCGAAAGAATTCCCTCGACCTATCTCTATACTTTGGCATGATATACATTCCATGGTAAGTGAACGACTCCCAATGGGCCTAATCCCTTTTGAATGACTGATCGGCAGGCTCTATTTTCCCTTTCAAAAGTGCTCTCTCCTCTTTGAAATCCACAGGGGATTGACATACAGTGGGGTTATGGTAGTTTGAAGTCAGAAGTCAACTGCCAGTTAATAGACTTTTTTGCCGTATGAGTATACGTTGCCCAGGGTGCACCACGTGGAGGTAAGTCTATCGCACACCCCTGCTGAGGAATAGTAAACCTGTTGCAGTTAATGGGAGTGGCGCAGTAGAGTGTGAATGACATACTGAATAAGTCAGGTGACGTACCAGTGAGGTGAGGTTCTTATTAATAACGCGAAACTTCATGCAAGAATAACGAGTTATGTAACTTGCCACCCATCGGGGCTTTTATTATATTAAGTGATTCAGCATCACGAGAATCGTTAAGTGAAGGACTATTAGTTTCCCATAGTGCGATGATGACACAGCAGTTAGGGGCCTATTAGTAAGGCTAGTAAAAAGGGGTGACAGAAATGTGTATTTTTCCCATCTTGCCTTTCTCGTGAAAAGTAAAATGCGCATCTTTTAAAGCATTCTCTCCCCAAATATCAAAATGTGCGAACTACCAAGCTCTCGGAAAGCATTACTCATTACCACTTTGCCCTAAGGGCTTCAGTTAGAAAAAGCCACAACTAACCTACACGCGCCAACTAGCATCCTTGAGGCACGCATTTATTGGCCCTCATGGTAAGAGGTTGGTAAAATGCCTAGAGCATTTACAAGATTTTAAAATTTTCATCATTTACATTGAAAATAATTTTATATTTTCAGAAAACACCTTCGAAAACATTACGCTAAATAAAATTATAGTTGGCCAATCCTAAATTACACGAAGTTAGTAGATAAATCAAGCAGTAAGATGCGTTTTCAAATAGATTCATAAACTTTAGCGCTTGATTTGATTAAGCCAGCAAATCACAGCAAGTTTGATTTCGTTATATCTTTGAGATTTCAGATGAATACTTTCGAAATGAATGGAGTGGTCAATATGGGAATGAATTCGATTAATTTAATGGAGCTCTACAAAGCATTGGAAATACTCCGCGGCACCTTTTCCCTTAAATGGGAAAAAATCTGATACTTCCGATACATTAATACTTTTTTATTTCACGTATATCAAAAGAATAACTTACACCACTGAAGCATCATTGATAAGAGGTACAAATTTTGGTCTTAATAAAACGAGAAAGGCATGGTTACTTTAAGACAAGGTTATGTGTTACTGAAATATTTTAAGTAGAAACTTAAATCAAGACTTCAGTAATATTTGATGTAAAACCCGCAATGCAATGGGTCATGTGGTCTGTTAATTGATCCAGTTGTAAAACCAATTCATGATAAGGGAAGAGAATATTCTGAACAAAACATGAATAGGAATATACGAAATATTACAAATTATTCGCGTTGTCACAAGACCCACTTCTCGATTTGGTTTAAAATGCTAGTCAGAAAAATCAAGGAAAAGTCAAAATAAGTTAAAGTTCTTAAAAATGAATTTTTAATGAGTTTTGACTTGACTAAGAAGGGGTATTGAAAATATCCTTCTAATTGAGTCAACATGGGAAGTTTGGATGAATAATTTGGTTTGACAGATCACTTGCATATAACATCTAATGGGGTGAAATAACAGCAATTTACGCTATGGTATCCTTAAAATAATGATATTTTGATAAAAGCCTTGTTTTAGTACACTAAATATTTGACCTAGATAAGAAGTTTCTATAGCAATTAGCATCTCCGCGCAAATAAAACAATGAATTTGCGGAGAAATATACTAATGGGCTCTTAAATTTTAGTTGTAAGTATATAGAGACTGATTTAACTTTATATGGAAAATGTTTCCGCCAATATTATGACATATATTATATGATAGAATTTGTAGGATAAAAATTAAAATTAATTTATTTAATGTTCATATATGTTGGACACTTAAATTATATTATATCGCCATTTGTTAGTAATCTGCATATATATTGTCATTTAGAAATATATGTTCTTAAAATTTCACGTTTTTATTCAAAACTATATGTTTTTCGCCCTATAATTCATATTTTTGAAATAATGCTTAATGCATTTTAAGTCTATTCCCCCTTATTACGTTGAGACAGTATAATTTTTTTAATTTATAATAAAATTTCAGTTAACTCAATTTTACCAATATTATTATAAATTAATCTTCGTATTCAATTAGTGATAAAGACCAAAGCAAATAAGTAATAAAAGATGGAACGATATGAGAAAATAGCTCGAATTGGCGAGGGCGCCTACGGTGTTGTTTTCAAGTGTCGTAATCGTCAAACTGGCGAAATCGTGGCAATCAAAAAATTTACTGAATCCGAAGAAGATCCCGTGATTCATCGAATCGCCATGCGTGAAATCAAAACCCTGAAGGTAACTCTAACCTGAGTTTGTTAGTTCTCAATTTAGATGCAATATTAATTTACTTAGTCACATTAAAACGATGCCCAATTTACAATTCACTGTATCAATTTATGATATTCTGTTCTTATACCCTTCAAGGGAGTCTTAAAAGTCTTTTATTTCAGCAACTGAAGCATCCAAATTTAATCACATTGATTGAAGTCTTCAAGAGAAGGAAGCGACTTCACTTAGTTTTCCAATATGTTGATCACACACTGCTTAATGAGTTGGAAAAACACCCGAATGGGTAATGTCATATTTATTAAATCGTATTTTTTTCATTTTAAAACTTCACTAACTGGGTTCCCTACATTTGAAACCCACTATAATGGTAGATATCGCGCTCTTTGAACAGAGAAATTAGTTCCCTAACTGACTTATGTAACTGAATAGTAACTTCACCATTCGATAGCCTTGTCATTTAGAAGGCTAATAAACAAATCCTTTGAAACCAAATAAATTGACGTAGTAGCCAGACTTGATATGTCGGGGGGGGGGGGGGGTTAGGGAACTGAGCATTTAAATGCCCAGGTAATGTATTTTTAAACCCGAAGAGCCCATTTTAAGTTAATGAAAGTGTAGTTGAACATATATTTCAATTTAAATGTTGTTATGGTTGATAGTCAAACGCACCACTAGTTTAATGATAATTGTAAGATAGGGAACTTATGTTTTGACAAAGTCAAAACCTTTCTGAGCTTAAATTAATTGAATTAAATGAATATAATACGAAAAATGAGTGTTAAAAATGGTAAGTTTTATTATTTTTTTAATTAATTTTTTAGGTTAAAGAAGAGTCAAGTGAAAGAATTCAGTTGGCAATTACTGCAAGCTGTACACTTCTGCCACGAACAGAATGTAAGCCAGTACTTATTGAGAAATTATCATGCTCTATTTAGTTAGCATTAAAATAGCTAAAAAATTACTCAAATTTTTGGGAAACTGCTTATTAGCAGAGGGGGGGGGAGTTTTGAAGCAGACACTACACACACTGAATCCTTAGGCAAATTAAAACAATCTCCCTTAGCGTGTGTGTGTGTGTGTGTGTGTGTGTGTGTGAGTGTGTGGTTGCTCCTGAAACTCAACGGAATCGAATGAGTGAATAGCATTTTCTGCAACCATTGGAATATTTTCCCACAAAGCTCTGTTTTTAAAATACAACTCACTTTGCATTATAATAAGAATTATTCAAATTTCCACAAAGCGTGGGTTACACCATTTTTAGTTGAAATTTTGGCGGATTGCTGCACTAACAAAGCCTAGACTATACCTCGATAGCTACCCCTTTAATATAGTGGAAACGGGCGTATAAAGTTTAATTTATTTATTTATATCAAATACATACGGAGATAACGCCAAAAAATGTCAACCAGGCTAAAAATCCCCCCCCCCCCAAAGTTGACAGTGTGATCTCGAAATTAAATCCCATCGGTCCTGAAGTCAGTATTATTCCTCGCTGTGAAGAAAAATAATCTCTGCCTTAAACCCACCGATCTGATCCTACTTGCAACAAACAACCAGTTCATAAACGTTTATACACCCCACCTTTCTATTTGTACCATCAAACGCCACGATGTTACAATGTCCCATTTCCTTGAGCCTAATTGCCAACGATCCTCAAAGATTCTCGATCCAATGATCCAAACTGATAAATGAAAACTCTCCAAAGAACTTACAGATCTCAATGTTGACTCGAGCTCTACAATTGGCGTTATTCATAACTTTCGACCAGGATATTCTTCTACTAGCTCGAACAGGATACGTAAAAAGCACAAAAAGCGAAATGGCAAAACCTTCTGTGATGAATCACTTTAACCTATCTAAATATCATCTTCTACTCTAAAGACTCACAAGAGAACAAAATTCGCAGATCCATGCCAATCTGTTGCTGGCTTCCAAGCAACACAACTTTACTAAAAAAGGTCAGGACACAAACTTCAGTATCGTAGAAACTATCCCCATCAACTTGTGGACATTTTTGCAGTCTTCATCGCTGTCTTCTTAATTGTAAACCATCAAACAATAACAAGCAACTGTCTAACTAAATAAAAGCTACCATCGAGAGGAAACCCAACATTTGAAAGCTACTAGCAGTCATTGGTAAGTCAAAGTCCAGCGTGGAACCGACGCCGACTATGTATGCTCGGAAATCTCAATCCGGAAATCAAGTAACCGAACTGCCACCATCTAATGTCACTATTTACTAATAATATACACTTTCTGCCATGATAAACATGTCTTTGGCCGTTGATTGGTCGAGAGTTGCTAGAGTTGCGTTCCCACGAAATCTCATAATCCACGTTAATCATTGTATTTGAAAATCCCATTCATAATTACTTTTGTTATTTAGCTACGCTCTCTCTGAAATATTTAGTTAACAACTAAAGTCGGTAGAAAATTGTCTCTAATTTGCATTTCTTCAGTTTCATTGATCAAATTTCTTATCTTTTATGGCATAGTTGCTATTGATACAAAAAAATATTATTTACAAACAACAAGAAATAAATGGTTATTATTAAAATGATTTATATCACCAAAATTTGATTTTAATTAAGCTGAGTGCTGTTTCCCATTTTTAGTTCATCCATAGAGACGTAAAGCCCGAAAATATTTTGATCACCAAGTCTCGACTTCTGAAACTCTGCGATTTCGGATTTGCTAGGACACTGAGTGAGTTAAAATAAACAAAAACTTTCTTTAACGATCCCCTTTGACAGTTAAGAGGCTCAGCCATTTTTCTCGAAAAAAATAACATTTTCTCATCTCTCAAATGTGCTTGTTGATAATTATTGGGAAAATGTTGAGTGGTTGAATAATTTTTGTGCTTGAATTGATCTATTTTAGGCGCACTTTTTGAACTATCGAACTTGTATTTAGTGGTCGGTTTAAAATTTTCAGCCGGACCAGATGATAGGTACACGGATTATGTGGCTACAAGGTGGTACCGCGCACCAGAACTATTGGTTGGGGACACGCAATACGGCCCCCCAGTGGACACTTGGGCGATTGGATGTGTGGTGGCCGAGATGCTTACTGGATCACCTCTTTGGCCCGGCCGGTCTGATCTCGATCAACTCTTCCAGATCATTAGCACTCTCGGTAATGTTTAAGTTTATATATAATAGCATCCTCAAGGGTGATATGTTTAAGTCGAAAAAATAATGGGATATTATGGATACCTTCAAATAGTTAGCACGTTTGAATAAGGCATATTAAATAAGTCTATTATAATACTGTACTACGTATAAGAGGTATTTAAATCCTTGTCAATTCAATTTGGACTTTACGAACCACAAAAGCCCAATGAACTTTAAAGAAGTAGTTTATTTGGGATAAATAAATTGAAATTCTCATATAACTACACATTTCACATTTGTTTTAAACAAGATACGTATTTCTCGATGATCGTTGATACGGGCTGCTTTGGTATTTTAATGCAGAAATAATTTAAGAAAAAATAAAAACCCCTTTTATTGGGAATTCTGTGGAGTCACAATCCTAACATAATTCAACTAAGCAATCTCATTCCCTTTCGAACAGTCTGGAGGGTGTGGAGTCGTGAACGTTGAGGATTTCTCACGGAATCACTTAACACTGTTCATTAAAGTTATCTTAAATGCAGCCAGTAACCAATCATGATGATTGAAGTGGGCATAATACGACCAATAAACGTTTTATTCGTCTACGTTCGGTTCTTCTTTACCTTTGAAATATCTTGCCTCATTTCAGGAGCCTTTCCATACTAGGATATTTTGCGATTAAAAACAAGTTGAAATGAGTTTTGTTTTAGTTTAGTCTTACAATCGCTTCTCATTTCAGGAGCATTTCGCCATAGAGAACTGCTGCAGTTCTCATTAAACTTGATTGTTACTGATGCCGAATATAAAAGAAATATTTTTTCTATTTAATTCCAATATTATTATTATTATTAGCGTTAAAGGAGGAAGGCTGTGGGCAAAATATCCCGTTGATCGGAGATTAGAAAGAATTAAAAATTTTTGACTCAGTTGTACATTTCTTGAGTCTGCTTGGTCCCTATTGGGCAAGTATTTGCTACCACGGTGACATTGCACAAACATAGAAATTCTTAATTGTCAAATACCTAAAAGTCGAAACAATTATTAAGTCAACTGGCATTGGCAAAACGCATTTCATCATCATCGAGACTTAATAAAGGGGCAATTTGATCAAAGAGGAAATTGGAAATCAGTGTGGCATGACTTCAAACATGACTTTTCCACATGGAGGCAAATGTGAAACGTCGAAACTGGGAATACATTTGGTATTTACTTGGATTTGAGGCTATTGAGAAATGGAATTCGAAAGAACATTTCGTCAGGATGAAGTCAAATTTTGCAGACCAGATTTTGAGCTCGCTTTGAGACACACCGACATGAGCATGAGAGATCTTCCATGCTGACATGGCTCTTTTTACTTGAACGTCTATAACCGAGACGATATTAGATGAGAACCAGTTAAAATGTGTTCTCTTCTAGGGATTTTTATTTGGACCCCAAATGGATTTTATGGCAGTTAAAAGCCCATACTGGGGATAAACGAAGTTCTAATGGTTGAGTGCTTGCACAGAGCAAGTGAAGACTTACTAGAAATGACCAGTAGAGATGTACTAATCGGACGTCGTCTTTGAAAGTTGAAGACTTCCAAAGACTTCTTGAGTTGTGATTAATGGACTTGAACAATTGGAAGATAAAAGATGAAGGAGAACAGACACTTTAAGTGTTGGTCTTCAATTGTTTGCACTTTTAACATTTGCTAACGAATATATCACTTGGGAGAGCATTCGTTGTGTGTGAGATTTTTCCTTTACTTAAATGAATCCAAGTTAGATGGGCCAACTTAAGGCGTAGGAAGTATTGACATTCATATTTTTGTGTTCAGAATCCACTTATGGCGCTAAAATGGTCCACTGAGTCGTCCCTTCAATGATTCAATATTTTATTGATTTTATTGATTTTGTCAATGAGGCCCTTCTCTCAAATTGCATTAGAAGTAAAACCTAATGATTATAGATTATTAGTTAATATTCATAAATCGACAGTCTGATAATTGTAATACTTGCATTAGCCACCTTCTTAATATGCCTTCCTTTCAAATTTCCTGCTAATTTTTGATAGAATTTAAATACATCACGATAAAATTTGACCCCGAAGGGGTTATTCGAAATACATTGGGTTGTAGGCCTTGAAATGTTTGCTCGAAAAGACCCAGGAGAGAGGATCGTATATCCATTCCACTTCCCATGTTTCCAGTGTTTATGCAATCTCTATGGCAACGCAGATAATTGGGAGTTCACTAATGGAAACGCTTTCAAACATTCCTTTTTCTTCGTTTGTCTCCTAAAATTTTTTTCATAAATGTAGTTATATGCAGGAAGTCATCTTGAAACACTCCATCTCAATTGCTTTTCATTTCTATTAGTTTTAGTGATTATTTTATTCTAGAAAGTATTTTGCTTCTAAGAAGTGAATTATTCAAACGATTTTGTCCCAATAAACGCATTTCTCAATATTGGTGTTTACTACATTATTAATCAGTGAGACCTATCCCTCAAACTATTCTGGTCATACCACCATCACTCCTCTACATTCACAAGATAGTTAATTGATTAGATTTAGAATGATGGAACAGTTAAAAAGTAAAATCAATAATGAAGCGAAGATTATGCAAATTCAAATTGAAATTATTGATTACAAGTTCATTTGTGATACGATTTGAATATAAGGAAGTAAAGCTTTAACTATCTGAGTTAAAAATACCGCGAACGTGTCGAAAATGAAGATATAATTATAAGCAATTAGTAATTATTTTCATTGAGATGATTAATATCAAATTTGGGTCAAATAAGGATTGAGCTTTAATTCGTTTATGTAAATTGATATGAATTCCACCTAATTAAGCACTGGCTGAGTTGAGTTGGAGCCAGTTTTCTCTAGACTAAAGAGATCGCACGACCTCCCCTCTTCTTAACTGGGATATCCACTTAAATGCTGAGGAAAAAATCGATTTGATAAATCTGAGTGAGTTGCGTATAATTTGGTACGAAAACGCAAACTTAACTTTAGTCTTTGAGTTATTTGAGATTTTCTGATTACTTCTTTTTTCGCACTTCAGGTGATATATTACCGAGGCATAGAGAAGTATTTGAATCGAATACATTTTTCAAGGGGTATCAGTTACCAGAACCAAAAGTTATGGTATGTAGTCACTACTGAAATGTAATCAGTAACATTTAAAATTTTATTCTGATTCTAGGTGAGCCTTGAAGAGAGGTTTTCCCATCTGCAACCTCCAATTGAAGCAGAAGAATTGGATTTCCTTCAGGTAATTTTACCCCCGTACCCTTTTAATTGTAATGAGAATAAAGAGCATTAGAAAGAAGTACTTTTAGACATGCTTCCAACTTAATCCTGCTGATCGAGCGACGACTGAAGATCTTCTGAAACATAAATTCCTTGAAGAAGCACCTCGCCTCGTTTCAAATATTCGTCTGCCCCAAACACTGTCCCAATCAAAAAGTCTTCCTTCTTTATCCATAACTCCTTCTGGATACTCCCTGATGAATGCTGATTCTATTCCTCCTCTGGAACGACAGAATTTGCCCCTCTGTTCACCTGGTGATTTAGTTCCACGGAAGCCAAAAGTGATGCAAGGCAGTATCTATCATAGCTTCAAAGGTTGGCCACAATTTGATAAATCTGGACCAGTAGATAATTTCGGAGTTACTGGCACTTCTATGACTGGAAGTCTCTCCAAGATGTTTTGTCAGAGAAATGCTAACATCAATGATTTGTTCTCTAAGGCACAGAATAAAACAATGGAATACAAGAACAAAGATGATAGCGAACAAAGAATCACCGTAAGATTTCACTCAAGTGACCCCTTTTACTATTAATTCTTTTATGTTATTCCTCTTTTTCTTTGGCGTCGGAACGAAAAATAATAATAATATTAATAAAAATTATTGATATTTATTTATTTATTTCAAACGGCAGGCTTTATGATATTTATCATTAGCCCTTAAACTTTGACTTCAGCTTCCTCCATGGGTGGGGGGTACATGTATAGCAGTTAATTAATAGCAGTTCATTAGCTGTCTTCTTGCTTCCCAGTATCTCTGGCTTTCCATCGTTGTCTTTAGAGCTGGACATCGAATCAGGTGGTTCTTCTTCATTTCCTCCTGTAGGTTACATAGAGGGCATGTGAGTTGAGTGTATACTCCCAGTCTGTGAAGGCGTTTTGCCAAGCAATCGTGTCCGGTACGTAGTCTGAACTCAACAACGGCAACGATACTTGGCCTGTCGGGTATGTCGGAGAGTGCCACTGTCCACTGTTTCTCCATTGTTTGAGCTTTGAGTTCGTTGCACCTTGAGGTCTGCAATTCTCTCCTGAATAAGGTCTTCATTGTGTTGAAAGACATCGGCCGGTCTCTGCCTTGCAAAATCGTTGTCCCCTTCTTAGCAAGTGTGTCAACAAGCTCATTGCCTTTAATGTCACAGTGACCAGGAATCCATTTTAGGACCACTGTTTTGTTTTTCTCTCTCAGCAGCTCATAGAGTTTTCTACATTCCTTTATCTCAGCTGTTTTGGGTGGCTCTCTGCTTCCACTTGAGTTTATTCCTGACTGTGAGTCTGAAAGTATCACCGTTTTGGTGAATTTCGTATCCAGGCAACATAATTGGCATAGTGCTATCCTAATGGCCTCTATTTCTCCTTCAAAAGCAGATCTATTGTT